AAGTAAAATATAAGGAAAAAACAAAGTCATCCATTTACTACCTTGATATCCCACTACAACCACAGTTAGCAATTTGATTGACTTGGTCATTTATCTACTTTATGCTTGGGGCATTAGTTACAGCCATAATCAGGCTCATGCATGTACCTTTGTTCTTGATTCTTCACTTAATATTTAACACTTCTTCATAGTATTCATTATTAATTTATAATGAGTATCTTGGTAGTGTACTGGGTTACGAGTTAGGCTGCAAACTGCAAAGTCTTCAGTTCAAATCTACCAGCCACTCTATAGGAGAAAGAGGAAACTTTCATATCTCATAAAGATTTACAACCTTAAAAATCCTATATAGGGTTGGTTTGGGTCAAACTGACTCCACAGCACATCACCATCATCCTGGTGTGGAGCTGTAGGATCAGCATCGGACTGCAAACCACAAAGTTGGCAGTTCAAACCGACCAGCTGCTCCTCAGAAATCCTACACAGGGTCACTATGTTTCGAAACCAACTCGACAGCACTTAACAACAACATATACATATATATGCTATTTTAGTAGACCAGAGGCTGGCATATGGATCAAATTTGGGCCAAGACCTGATTTTTTACAGTTCTCAGGAAGAATAACTTTTTGCCTTTTTAAGCACTGTAAACAAACAAGAATGCAAGAGTGCCAGTATAAGATTTGCAAAGCCTGAAATATTTACTACCTGGCCCTGTAATTAAAATATTTTTTAAAAGACCCTTAGACCAGATGTTGGAAAATAATGGCTGTGCATTTATAAAATTTTCTTGGGACAAACACATGTCCATTTGTTTACATATGATCAGTGGCTACCTTTACACTACAAACAATAGAGTTGAGAAGTTGTGACCAATACTGCATGGCCATGAAGCCTAAAATATTTACCACCTGGCCTGTTACAAAGTAACAACAAAAAAAAATTGCTAATCTCACTAATAAAATTTGTAAGTCTTTATAATTTGGGATACTACAAGTCATGTGCATACAATTTTTCAGACTGCGGAGAAGTTAATTGCGAGAGATGAATAAAAGGGGAACAGTCTGGTTAGTAAAGATACTTTAAGGCTGCTACTATCCCACACTATCTCTTGTAATAATCTTGATCTGATATAGTAAGGGTGGTGGTTATAAGAAAGAGAAAGAAGATCCAGTACTTTTTTGGTCCCTATGCATTTAGACATACTAGTTTATACTCCAGTTGCACATATTGTCAGTTTTAACTTTAAGTCAACAAAAGAGAGAAATAAGAGTAACTGCAATATGAAAACCAATTGACATGAACAAGCAGGCAGAAGTAAACAAGAATGCCACTCGAAGCTAACAGGCTTTGGGAGAG